TAGCCCTCGAAAGGGTTTTGGAGGTTGATGCCTCGGTGAACGTGAGTTGTTTGGCTTTCTTGTCCGCAGCAGCAGAAAGCATTTTCGAATGTTTGAATAAATCAAAGTGGGTCGTCACCGTCGACTTTCTCTTATGCTCCAACACAGTTGCACGGGGTGCAGAATAGTTTCCCCCCACTTTCGTGAAAGACATCGGGGTACTGCTTTGCCCGGTCTTTAGCAGAAATGTTCGTCGGTAAATGAGATGGATCAGATTTTTTCATCTTGGTGTTTTCTCTCTAGTGTGAGTTCCACACGTTCACTCTACGGTGTTGTTTACCTTCTGTGATGCGCGAGCTGATGACGTCGTGTCATCATCACCATCATCACTACTTCACGTCAAGACGAGTTAACTATTTTTTTTTCTCAACTTTGTGTGGAAAAATGGGGGGATTATGCGGCCTCTTCTTGTCTAATGGAAATGGTAAGGGAATGTATCTCTTATATTTACCCATGAGCACAAAATATACATCTATTCACTCGTATTGGTTATCAGGCAAGAGTAGGGGAGAATACATGAAAAGGTTTAACAAGAAAACCAGTGAAGCTTTTCCATTGACGCAGTTTTGATTCTCTTGGTTTAGTTCAATTCTGCGAGAGTGACTTTTAACAATCAGTTTCTTATTGCAGTGTTGTTGCTATGGAGACCAGGCAGTATGTTGCTGGTGATGTAATCACCATGCGCCTGATGCGGAGAGAGAAGGGGGCTTTGGTGGCCATGCCTAGCTCTCAGTGGGTGAAGGTGGAGGAGCCTGTTCGCTTTGGAGGTGAGAGAAAGCCACCTTTTTGTTTATGAAGGAGATCAGTGACGTCCTATGGTGTGACAGTCTTCAAAGTTATTTTATATGGCTCAAAGTAACTCTAAAGCACCATGCAGACATTTTAATATCCTCAGACAAGTTGGGTTATATTACTTGAAGTGTAAAATACTCTCCTAAAGGGGATGGTTCTCTTACTTCCTACTCACCGTGGGATGGTGTGTGTTTTCTAGATGTGTGTCTTAGCCCGTACTCCAAGCTGCTGCTGACCTCCCCGATGCAGGTCCTGAGCCTGGTGGCCGAGGAGAAGGCTGCCCTGCAGGCTCAGCTCAGCCAGGAGGGGGACGCCCAGGGCTGCTTCATCCAGAGCGCACTGTGTCTCCTGCAGGTAACTAAACCTGCATGCCTCTCTGACAGGAAACTGTTTAGCAAATGACCGAACATACCCAAAAGGTTCACTGGATGACATCACTGCATTCAACATATACAACATGAGCAAAAACACCTCTGATGATAAAAAAAAAATCATTATTATTTTTGCAATGCCGCTTAATGTGAAATCAATGTTATTTTCTATTGCGTGTCTCCAGGTAGAATATAAAACCTTCTTTATGAATCAGAATAAAACCATACATGGATGCAGACAGATATTTGCCTCTTTAATGATGGCTCCAGACTATAGCATGATTTGGCTTTTTATGAAGTCACGTTATATTTTCTGTTAAATCCCATATCCATTGAAAGCCCGCTCTAAAATTATTTATCTGGGTCCTGGCTGAATTTTTTTGATGTGCATATTTTTTTAAATGTATGTTTTTATGATTTAGGAGCGAGAGGAAATGCTGCTGAAGCAGCAGAAGGCACATGTAAGAAACCGGCTTGACCTTTCCTCTCTGACTCTGGAAGACCCTTCTCCTATGGACGAAGTGGTTACTATTTCCAGCATCGCCAAGGTGAGTCTAAAAACAGTCCTTTCATCATTCTTCTTTGACAGCAGTAGTGTCTATGAGTAATGGGAAATTATTTTACTTGCATGTTCTTTCTCAACATTGTAGCTTTCTACTTTTATATGGGAATATTCAGGTTCTTCTGTTTAGTAAGAGGTGTCTCTTCCTTCTGTAGCCTGTGCTGCAGTACACCTCTGCATTTGATGACGAGGTTGCAGAGTTTGAGGATGATGCGGAGGTCTCAGAAGTGCCGGAGGTCCCACAGGAGGCCAACGAAGAGCTGCCAGGCTTCCCTGGAAGTATTTTGGAGAATGTCCTGGAGGAGCCTCTGGAGGCTATGATGGATGAAGCCCCAGAGCCCCAGCCTGAAGAGGAGATCCCTATCAAACTGGCAGATTCAGGCCGCCCTTCCACCAGCGTGGTGCACGGACCCTACTACTATTTTTACCAAGGTGGGTTTCAGTGTTTCCCCTAGGATGGTGTCATAGCAGCGGTGCTAAGGCAAAATGTGAGCGCGGAGCGCGTGGAATTTTTTTAGTGTGTGCGAAGTGCGCCCCGTACTTGTTTCCATGTTTCCATGTTTCTGCCAACACAAGAAAGGCTCTTGAAGCTCTACAGGTGTATTTTGCTCAATCACCTTTATTGAACATACAGTAACACAAATACTACACATCCACATAACAAACAATCAAAATAAAATGTATGCAATTTAATTAGATCTAACCTCATCTAGGGGGGCTTGGGGGCATGCACCACCAGGAAGATTTTTTTTAAATGTTGAAGTTAAAAGCATCAATCTGGTGCACTTTGAGAGCAACATGAAGTTATCTATGGATACATCTCTCAACACCCATATGAAACAGAACTGTAAGCAGATTTGTTTCTTTATGGATATTTTACAAATCAATTCCCTTTTAAACTGTATTCTTGTTTATTAATAACAACTTTTTTTTACTGTCATATTAGTATTGTATAACTGTTTACTTTATTCTCTTATTTTTCTATAACTATAATGATCATATAAAGATGTGCCTTTACCTCACTGGTTGGAGAAAAAGCTTCTTATATTTGTTAGCATAGCTAGCTAACCAGATGCTAATAACAACAAAGTTATTGACTGTATGATCAGTATGACAGATGAACAGATCGCCACTGGGCTTACAACTAAAGACACAGCCACGCAAAAACCGCGACATGTGTACAGCTCCTTATGGGTACTGCAATTTGTGAAGTCCCGGCCCGGAGCCGCGTTCTGGTGCTCTCCGTTAGAACTACACTCCAGTCAGACGAGACATATACCACGTGATGACACGTTAGGCTCGTGTTGTGTTCAAGGACCCTGACCTTGGCCAGGAAAAACAAGCTTGTTTAATTATTTTGCGGTCTAGATTTCTTGAATTTTTTTTTGCGTGTGTTTAT